GCTTAAAACTCAAAAAAAAACCCATAAATTATTATGGGTGAGAGCGAGAGAGAGAGAGAGAGAGAGAGAGAGAGAGAGAGAGAGAGAGCGTAACTATTAATAGTAACAACCACTAACAACAGCTGTTGGCTAGCAACAATTCGCTAGCGAATTACAACATTGAAAACTAAATTGTAAATACCGACCATCATCATCATCATCAATGATCATCATAGTTATGATGATGCGCACGAGTTTTTATTTTCTTTTATCTTTCAGATTCTTTAGATTTTCAATCTGTTTTTTGTTTATATGTAGTACCTTAATGGTGATATTATTGTTACGTAATAATAATAATAATAACAACAACAACAACAACAACAAAATTAGCAAAGAAAATTTATGGCCCAATTTAGCCAAATGTGTTTGGCCCAATATCGTCGTCGTCGTTTGTTAATGTAATAAAAAAAAAGTAGCATTTTTTCATGTTTTCGTTGTCGCCGTCGTTTTTTCAATAAAAAAACAGCAGCAGCAACAGCGAAAAAATAGATCAGATAAAAAAAAACTCAGGTAGCCAATTTACCTTTTGATAAACTTGGCCTTCAACATTATCATCAACATCAACTCATCATTCTAATCAGGTGTTGAAAATTTGTTTCTTGTTGTTTTTTCTTCTTCATTCATTTAATCATGATAATTATATTGATCATGAACTTGAACTGAAAATATCTGGAACATCTGGTCAATTTGTTTTTTTTTCTCCTTTTATCAATCATAAGGGTTAAAAGATTTATTTATTAATGTTTTTTTTCTTTCTCCCTTAAGTGGTGATGATTATGATGAACAACAACAACAACAACAACAACAAACTTAGGTTTGTAATTCATCATAATTAATTAACTTTTATCTTGCAAAAATTATCTTTCTTTTTGATGAATAGAAGGATGTCTTTGGCTATCCCTGAGCTCCTGAGGAATGAATGGCCACAATCGAAAACCAAAAACAAAATACACGATGTTTGTTTGCTTGTTTGATTTGTTTTTCATTTTGCATCAAACATCAATAGATCATCATCATGTTTGAGGTTATTATATTACATCGAAAATGATAAGTAAATAAAAAAAACAGCAACAACAAAAATATGATGTTTACGTTTGTTTTTGGTTTTTAATAATTGATTTTTCAAAACAAACGAAACAAAATCCTAGATTTTCATTCAACCGATTTTCATCCAATTTTTTATTGAATCGGTCGATAAATTTTAAAGATTAAATGACGATGAACCAGATGAACAGAAAATGCCAAAAGTTCTTGTTTGTTTGTTTTTTGCTGGATAAAAAACAATGCTGTAGGTTCTTAATTGTCTATGAAAACAAAAATATTGTCTACCTGTTTTTTGTTGTTCTGGATAATTAAAATCATGAAAACCGGTGCGCACAAGCGAAAAAAAAACGTGATTTGATTTAAAAAACAAACAAAAACCAAAGCAAAAACAGAAACAAAGACTATATAAATCAACATTTTTTTTAGTTTGATCCGGGCTTTTGAACATACAACAAGAAAAAAATTATTTGACATATGATGATTTGAACAGGTGAACAACCAGCTCAGTCAGCCAGCCAAGTCAGCCAAGAATTTTAAGCATCATTTCAACGAACGAACGTCAGTTAACGTTAAAGATGATTAAAAATTTTGATTGACAAGTGAAGTGATCGTTTCTTTACTGGCTTTTGGTTCTATATTCATTTATGTTTGGCTGGTTCTTTCATGTTGTTGTTGTTGTTGTTGTTGTTGTTATCAAATTGATATGTCATGCTTTTTTGGTCATAGAATCCAGAAAAAACAGTGATGTTTACCCTCTTTACCAAAAAAAAGGGGTGATTTCATATTTGTTTGTTGTTGTTGTTGATGTTGACCCTTTTTTTCTCAATCATCTTTGACTCTGTTTACTCTGTGTGTATGATTGCCAGTTTCATTTCATTTCGTTTCGTTTCAATTTTCTCTTTTGCTCGTCGACTGACATTTTCCAGAGAAAATGAAAATATCTTTCTTTTTAGTTTGGTTTTCGTTATCCAAACCATTACCATATTATCTATCGAAATGAACGACTGACAACTGACTACTGACTTCACATTACTACTTTGATACTATACATTGATATGGATATGGATATTGTATATGATGATGACGACCAAAGAAAGAATAATTTTTTTTGCTTGATGTTTGATGTTTGAAAATAAAATGGTAAAAGAGAAAAGTCAAAAAAATTTTTTTGGAGAAAATTGGAGAAAATGACAGACAGTCGGAGAGAGAGAGAGAGAGAGAGAGAGAGAGAGAGAGAGAGAGAGATGAAGTGATGATGATGAATGATTCTATATTTTTCGTTTTTCGTTTTTATATTTTCATATTACCACTCTGTTTTTTTTGGGTTCCTATTTATCCATCCACCCTATTCCATACGGGTTATAGTTTGTTTTTTTTCTTGTTTTCTCTGAAAAATATTTTCTGTTTCGGAAAAAAACTTTCTTCCGTCCAAAAAAACCGAACGAAAAACAAAAAATTGAATAATGAAAAATAAATATTAACCATAACGGTTTTTTTTTGAAGTTTATCCTTCGCTCTATATACACATGTAGTGGATTGGATTCATGTTTTCTTGTCTGCATAGAAATATCGATATGAAATCGATGAAATGTCAAATGGATCAATAAAATTTTGTTTGTTTTTTGGTTTGTTTTTGTTTTTTTTCGGTTCTATGGAAGAAAATGAATGAAAGATCAGTGAATGTCATCGATGATGATGATGATTATATGATTGGTTGAAAAAAAACCTTGGTTTTGTCAAAAAAAACATTTTAACACAGCTGTCGTTCTGTTTGGTTCAACAATTTTCATTTTTTCGGCTATTCTTCCATCATATCCGGGCATCCGATTCGATTATTTTGTTTTTCGTTTTTTTTTGTCTTGATGACATTAATTAATTTCCAAAATTTGTAATTGATAAAACATTTACTTAGTTAGTTTACTAAGTACATTCATTTTATCAACAACAGAAAATATTCAAATAAAAAAAGATTCTTTCATAATGTTTTTTTCTCTCTCTTTCTTGCTAGCTGATGATGCAAAATGTAAAACGACAAGGACGAACTATACGAACAAAACTTATAAATGAAAATATAACCCGAAAAAAAAATGAAAAGGAAAATGAAGCAAAAATTTCGTAGAAAACCAACAAAAACAATGTGTCTTAAGCAGGCAAATACAAAACAAAACAAAACAAAACAAACAAACAAGCTCAACCGAACCGCAACATCATTTATCATCCATCGTCGTCGTCGTAGTCGTCGTCGTTGTCTCTTCACATCTTTTCTATTCAATTCATTCATTCATTTGTTTATTTATTTGTTTTTCGTTTTTGTCTTATTATTGTCTTTACATTATTCTTATTTCACTGTGTTTTTCCAGACTTATATATTTTGATAAAGAAACCAAAAATGTATTTCGTAGTTTCTTGTAAAAAAACATTAGAATTTTTGCTTTTTCTTCGTTTGTTTTTTTTTTTGGTTTTGGTGAAATGTCAATTAAGATTTTTTTTTTGAAAGAATTTTTAGTTAAAATTTTTCTTCTTTTTTTTGATGAAAAAAATATAACTAGGTTTTTTCTATTCAAACTTTCCAGTTATATTTTTTCAGAAACATTGAATGTCAATATTCAGATCTAATTTCTTCCGTTTCGTTTTCGTTTTTTTTCATTTTTGATTGTTTGATATTCAACCTGTCAAAATTTCATAAAAGTAAGTTTTTTGTTTTCTTTTCTCTATTACCCGATAGGAAAAACAAAAATAATACCCGAACATCAGGATTCCAAAAAACTAACTGATATTGCCTGATATCAGCCAACCAACCAGTCAGCCAACAAAACTATCGCCACCATCGTTGTCGTCGTCAACATTGAAATGTCAAACACAAATGTGACAGTTTTTATGATTGGACCAGAAAAATATTCGAAAAACGAAATGAAAACGAAAGAAAAGAAAATAAAGACGTTTGACATGTGAAAATATGAAATTTTGTTTTTTGTTTTTCTTCAGTTTTTCGTTAAAGCAAAGACCTAGCTTCTTCTTCTTCTTCTTCTTCTTGGATTGAGACTTTACAACCATCACCACTATAACCATCCGCACACACACATACAAAAAAATACATATCGCGACAAACACACCTACATCCCAAAAAAGAAAAAGAAAATATGTATAGAGGAAGAAAGAAGAAAAATATGATTAATGATCTTTATTGTTGGTTTGACATGTATATTTCAGTTTTTGGCTTTTCGTTTTTCGTTTTTTCAGTTTTTTTTCTCTACCTTAAAATAAACTGTTAATAATGTCTCGGTGTGTTCAATAAGGTAAAAAGTTTATGAGAAACACACTAGTTTGGAGTTTTTCTTCTCGTTTTTGCCATATCTTTTCGATTTTTTTGGATTGTCGTTTGATAAAAAGATAAACATCAAATGCTGCTGCTGCTGCTTGCTGATCAATTTTTCTGAAACAAAATGAATTTTTGATTCAAGTTTTTTTGGAATAATTTTTTTTTTATTAATTCAATTTTCAAAAGAAAAAAAATTACAAAAGAAAAAGAAAAAACAAAAATCTCCCTAAATGTTAAGTCAATGTGTTAAGTTTGAGTATAGCTAGGAAATTGAGGAAAAAAAATACATTTTCTACAAATTAGATCAAAAAAGAAGGAAAAAGTGACTATCAAAAAAATGAATGAATGGATACAATATGGATATGAGATTCTCAAATTCTGGCTAATTTGTTTTTGTTTTGATTCAAAAAAAATTGATGAGAATAATGATTTTCCACCAGAAATATATCTGTGATGAAGTAGACAGAAAAAAAATTCAAATTCAACTAATCGATAATGACTACTGTAAACAATCATCATCATCTTCATCATCAACATTATCAGCATTGGAAATTGGATTTGTATGAAGATTTTTACTACCCGTATTTGATTCAAATTCTTGTGTATGATTGTTGTTGTTTGTTCCATTACCACCACTAATCATTGTTGCTAAATTGTTGTTGTTGATTGATCCACAAATATTATTGCCATTTGTTGTTGTTGTTGCTGATGGGGTTAACAAATGATGATGATTATTATTATTCAGGTGATTTAAATGATGCGAATGATTCAATTGATTCAGATGTGAATGATTTAAATGATGTAAATGTTGTTGAAGTTCTTGTTGTTGTTGTTGATGATTTATTAATTCATTTGTCAATGTTGTTGTTGAATTACATTTAACTTTTATTTCTTTTTTAGCTTTCATACGACGATTTTGAAACCAAATTTTTATCTGTCGTTCAGTCAATCCTAATGAATGTGCAATTTCAATACGACGTCTACGTGTTAAATAACGATTAAAATGAAATTCTTTTTCCAATTCCAATGTTTGATAACGGGTATATGTTTGTCGTGTTCGTTTTGGTCCATGACCAGAATCTATTTTTTGCAAGAAACGAAAAAACGAAAACAGAAAAAAAACAAATAGAAAAAAATGACAAGATAAGAATAATATGGATCCAAACAAACAAAGTAAAGAATGTTTTGACAAGCAAAACAAGCAAGCAAAAAAAAACAAGAATGTTCTATATAAAAGTAAAGTTTTTCAAATATATATAGTTCATCAAAAAAAAAACGAACGAGATGATAATGATAATGTCACATGTCAAAAAGTATAGTTGTCGCTTATGATGATGATGATGATGATGACAGTTTTCGTTTTCATTTCCATTGATGACAGGTGATAATCTTGATTATCAACAAAGCAAAAAAATAATGTTCCTGATGGATTTTTCAATGGATTTCCCCCCCCTTTGTGTTTTCTATCTAGGTTTGTTTGTTTAAATGGGGAAAAAAACAAAGATAAGAATGATGATGATGATGATGATGTTTGAGATTTACCTATATTAAATGTAATGTAACTTGTTGTCGTTGTTGTTGTTAATGAATGTTTTGGATTTGAAAAACGAAAAAGAAAAAATTCGTCAACATTTAGCTTATCTTCTTATTTGCTCTGGGTTTTTTTTTGATTTCCAGGTACGATATTTGTCTTTTTTGATTTGGAAAAATGATTGCAGATTTTCAACACCTTTTTTTTGCTGGTCCGGGAAACAAACAAGCAAACCGTATAGCGTATTCAAATCAAACAAAAAAAGATTTCTCATCATCCACATCCCCATTCGCGCATCCATTGAATTAATTTTTTAAAAAAATTTTCATAAAATTCATAAATCAAAGTAGGTGGTCAAATTTACGCAAAAAAACACATAGAGAAACCAAAAAACAAACGGCAATCATCAATGTGTCAGACCAATCTTGTTTTTTTTTTGTTGTTGTTGCTTTCTTTTTTTGAATAGAAATTCACATCTCACTGATCACTAATGAATGAAACCATGTTTAAATAGGAATGTAATTATCATTTCAACAACAACAACAAGAAAAAAAGAATCTAAATTTTAATTTTTCAAAAAGAAAAAAAACTTATGTCACTTTTTTGATGATGAAAAATGTTTCAAACAATTTTTGTTTTCCAATGAATATAAAATAAGGGGTTGTCTGTGTGTGTTCATGTGTGTGTGTTTACATCGACCAAAACACACAGGCGAAAATACCTGTAGAATACCTGCTTGAATATTTATAATGATGATTATGATGATGATTATAAACATATGACAAGCATGGATATACTACCGATTTTATTTTATTTTTTTTTCGGTTTAGCCAATTAAGTTACCTTTGCTATAAATGAAAAAAAAGGAGAAAACAAAAACGAAAACATTCTTTGAAAAGATGATTATGATAAAGTGGCTTGTTCTTTGTTTTTTTCATTGAAATTCTGAATTATGAATAATAATGATTTTTGTTTTGGATTACCACCATTGAATATACATGATGATAATGATAATGAATACTGAGAATGTCATCCTATTATGTGTGGCATGAAAGAAAAAAGATTGGTTTTTATTTTTTTGGAAAAGATGTTTGAAATTCTTGTTTGTATGAAATACATTTCCCATTGAAACGAAGATTATGACAACGGCAGCAGCTTCTTCTTCAGGATTCAACGATATTGATCTTGATGGTTAACAAATTTTTTTTTTCGTTACAAAATTGAAAAAATAATAATCTAGATTCGTTATCTATCTGTTGATTGGAAGAAAAAAAAATAAGTGAAAATTTTTTTCCATTTTTCCACAAATGATTGATTGATTAACACACACTCACCACACACACAGTGGTAATCAGTTTTTTCTTCTTTGATTCACTTGATTCACTTCTTTGGATTCATAATCGAATAATTCATTTTTTTTTTCAATTTACTTTCAGTCATTCGTCATTTCATTCATGTCTTTGAACTTATTAATTTTGTTTTCAATTTATTAATTAAATTTTCAATGGTTTTTTTATTCATTTTTCAAAAAATGAACAAAAAAAACCTTTTTCATTTTCTGCAAAATTACATTCAAAATTCAGTGTTTTTCAATTTCAATTTCGCCATAAATTAAATCCATTAATGATCCTTGTTGCCACTTGTTGTTCGACATTTGAAAAAAAGAAAAACTTTCCAATAAATCTTTTCCCTAATTCACTGAATGAATGAATCAATGTGGAAAATGTAATATTTGAAATTGAAAAAAGATTAGGTAATTTAACTTTCAAGTGGCAATAATAATAATCATCATCATTCTGTGGTTATAGTCGACAATAACAATAAAAAACTTTGACGACGACGACAACGATGATGATGATATTTTATTGCTGTTGCTGTTATTTCAAAAAAACATTTGTCAAAAAAAAAGGCACGAGCAAACGAATACCGGGATTGAAGATATTTATTACACAAACATACACAAACAGTTAACGTTTGAATTTTGTTTTTATTGAGCTATAAAAAAAAACAAACTACATTGTTTATCGTAGTCGTTGCTGGTTATGTAATGTAATCTTTTTTTTTAAATGTAAATAAAAGTAAGTGAATGAATGGAGGGGAAAGATAATAATCATTTCATGAATGATGATAATAATAATAATTCAATTCGGAATCAAACCGAAATTAACCACTTGAATGTGTATCATCATCATCATCATCATCATTATATAATCATATTGGTGGAAATAAAGCGGTTAAAATACTGTAATGTTATATGTGTGTGTGTTTTGCTTTGTTTTCTTTGGTAAAATTTCTGTTAAAATTTATTACCATTTGTTTTCCACGAAAACCTTTTTTACTTGTAACTTTTTACACACAAAAAAAACCGGCTATTACGTAACGTTTTACTCTCCATTCTTTTCGTTTTGTTTTGTTTTGTTTCGTTTTGTTTGTACGGATTTTATTGCTATTATTATTCTTGCCAAACAAATTTTATTAGGTGTTCATTGTCAACACAATGAAAGAAATGAATAAAAGAAACGAATGTAAAGATGATGATGCATCATTCTTATGATACAAATAAAATTGATACACTTATCATCATCATCATCATATAGACTTGCATTTAACTTTGATTTTCTTCGCTACTACCACTACTACTACTACTACTATGATTATTTTGATGATGTAACAGTGTTTTTTTTTTTTTTTGGTTGAAGAAGAAACTAAACTGTAATAAAAAAGTGGTCATTGAGAAAAACGAAACGGAAAGAAAAAAATATAGTCTAAGATAATTTATGACTTTTTTTTTCTTTTGGTAAAGATCAAGAACAAGAAAGGAAAGGAAAGAAAGAAAAGAAAGAAAGCAACAAATGAAATGCAATTTGAAATGAAATGAAAACATGTTGATTCTTTCTCTGTTGTCGTTTTGTTAATTAGTAAATTAATTAATTAATTAAACAAAAAAAGAATTACCTTGATAAGATTTCATCCATGGAAAAAATGATGATGATGATGTTGATGTTGTTGAATTTGATGTTGGTGATTTTTGTTGTTGTTGTTGTTGTTGTTGATAATGTTGTTGTTGTTGCTGTTGATTAAGATGGTGTGAATAAAGATGATGCGAATGATGATGTAAATTTGTATTCATTGATGATGATGTTGTTGATGATGATGATGATGATGTTGATGATGATAATGGTGGTGGTGGTGTATGATTGCTATCATTATCCATAGGTGTTAATGATCGTTCTGGTTGATTATGTTGATGTTTTGTTGATGATAAATCAATGGAATTATCTTCTTCTTCCAAATCTCCATCATCCGCATCATTTTTATAATTTTTGATTGATATTTGATAACCCCTACTACCACTACTGGGTGTTTTCGATGTTATTAATGTTTCCGATTGTAATTTTGTTGTTGTTGATTGAGATTCTATATTGCAATTTGGATCATTTTGAATAATTTTTGAACGAAATAAACGTTGCTGTTGTTGATCAATGTTAATTCCTATATCGTTCGATGTTTCAGATGTTGATGATGAATTGATTAAATCAATTGGACGATTATTATTATTATTTGGCGATCCAACATCATCCATAATTGATAATGTTTGTGGAATTAATTCATATGATGATGATGATGATGATGGTGGTAATGGTGGAGGTGGTGGTGCAATCATGTCTAAATGATTGCTATAGTGATTCGATGATGGTGGTGGATATGGACAACTAGTTGGAGGTAGATTATGTTGATGTGGATGCGGATTATGTAATGTTTGATGATGATGATGATGATTACCGAATACAAATTCATTATAAAATGGATGTTGATATGATGATGGTGACGTTTGTTGTTGTAATAATCCTAACGGTTGTTGTTGTTGTTGTTGATGATAACGATGATGATTATTCGGAATTGTGGAAGTATATCTTGCATTCATGATTGTTGATGATGGTGATGTTCCATGATAACCATTTTGATAACCTTTATTATCATTATAATATGCTGCGGCAGCAACAGCAGCAGCGGCTGAGGTAAATTGATTAGGTTGTTGTTGTTGTTGAATGATATTACCTTGATTATATTGTGTTGATGATGGCGGTGGTGATGATGATGATGATGATCGACTAGAATGATTTAAATTATTATAACGTTGTTGTAATAATGAACTTTGAGGATTTGATGCGGTTAACGCTGTTACTGCTGCTGCTGATGATGCTGCTGCTGTAGCCTCAGCAGCCGCAGCAGTCGCAGCTGTAGTAATCGAAGATGCTGTATACATTGCTGATGGTAATGTCGTTGTAGTTGATAATGATGGATCAGTTATATTTGTCGATGATGATGATGATGATAATATTGATGGTGGTAGTGGTGCTGATGGCCATTCAGCCGTTGATGAATAATTAAAATAAGAATTCATATTTTTGTTCGTAAAAAGGAACAGATATGAATTTGATGATGTTTATCAAAAATCGAAGATTTAACAACAACAGAAAAAAGATCAAAGACTACGAAGACTTTCAATTCGTTTCGTTGTTTGATCACTAATGATTATGATTTGAGTGATAATATCGGATGGTTTTGGATGGGTGATAATGATGTGTGACTAGGTGCCAAAGAGCCAAACAACAAACTTGATCTACTGATGATGATGATGATGATGATGATGGTGGTGGTGGTGGTCAGTTGGAAGGTCAGTTTATTAATGAATCATGATGATGATGATAATAACAATGATGACGACAACGACATTTTGGATTCACTGAGAAAACAATGCAACCAACAACAACAACAACAAAAAAAATACAACACGTGACCGACCGCCTATTTTTTCATTTCATTTTTTTGGGTTCCTTTTTTTCTATGTTATTATTGATTTTCAGGATGATGACCATAATTTCGGTGAATGAATGAATGAATGAATGAAAATTGACTAGAATTGACTATATGCCATTTGGTTATTTTTCCTGATATAAATAATATTCACCAACTTTAGGTATACACACAAACAAACTATTGGTCAGCTAGTCTGTCATTCAGTCAGGTTAGTCAAAGAAAAAAAATCAGAGAAAATCAAACCACGACAACGATGATTTTTTTTTCAGATAGGTTTTAATAATAATAATTTTTGGCTAAGGCCTAGGATGATGATGATGATGATGATGGTCAAAATGATGAATAGCATGCATACATACACAATATGGTGATGGTCACTGAATATATAGTACTTTTTGCTGTTTGTTTGTTGTTTGCTGGGGCCAGGTTTTTTTTTTGTTGAATTTTCATTATTTGACAGCTTCTGGTTTCATTTTTTTTCCTCCTTCGTTTTGGTTTTGTGATTTTTCTGTCCAATAATAATGATGAAAGCACAATGAATGAACGAATCGAATCAGTTTTGAAATTTGAAAAGTTCAATAGGTGTTCAATAGCAAATAGATCAGATCAATTTGTTGTTGTATGGTTGTTGGACATTTGATTCCAAAGTTTTGCCTCCATTTGTGAAAACATAACACAGCAACAGCAACCCTTTGGCCACCTGCCACTTTTTGTTGTTGTTGTTCCTGCTGTTGCTTGTTTTAACCAATTGCAACTACTAAATAGTCAGATGGTTCTGAAAAGTATTGATTTGATTTGATTTGATGAACGGATGATGCAGAATAGGAAACATTTGGTTAATTTTCTACGAATAGAAAACCACTACTATTGTTGTTGTTGTAGATTGTCGTTTCAAAACGGTATTTTACAAAACGCACACACACTGTATTTTTGATTTTTTGAACAGGAAATGCTTGGTTTATTTGGTTTTCCGCTTTCTTTCACAATGATGCTAGGAAACAATTCAAAAGAAGAAGATTTACCTGGATGAAAATCAAATGAAAAAAAGTTAACAAATTTTTTACAATTCTTTCAGATGTTCTTGGTTTGTCTCTCTTATTTCTTCTTCTTCATTTTTACAATGACAACAACAAGATTGTCTTTCGCATAACTTTTTTCTCTTTGTCTTTCTCTCCCTCTCTCTCTCTCTCTCTCAATCCATCTATCTATCTATCTATGAACCATCCTATCAATATGAAAATCTTTGATAAAGAAAAACGATGAAATAAGAAATGATTGAGTGAGTGAGAGAGAAAGAAAGAAAGAACAATTGAAAATCTATCGAGAATATTTGGTTGTATTTTGCTTCTATATGATAACGAATAATAATCGTGCAATTGCACTGCAATATATTTATTTGATTGTTTGGTTGGTTGGTTGGTTGGTTGGGTTGTTTGGTTGATAGTCACTATAGAAAATCACTCAATCATTAAAAAGAAGAAGAAATCAAAGATGAATAGCACGAAGAAGAAACTAACCAAAATTTCTCAGTACCATCACCTTGTTGATGATGATAATAATAATAATGATGATTATGGCAACAGTACCTAAGATTATCATTGAGATCTGTTGCTGAAAAAATTTGATCATTCAATGACAATAATAATAATATTGTTGTTGTTCGGTCTATTCGGCTGTTGATGATAATAATAATGATTTTTGTTGATGATGATTATGGTTGTGGTTTTCATAACAATAATAAAAATGATGATGATGATAAAGTTAAGAAAGAAACAACATTGTTAAATGAAAAAAAAATCGAAATTGAATCGAACCGAAACGAAGCCAAATGAAATATACACACAGCCAACAAGTATCATATTTTTTTTACCTAGATATTTTTCTCGGGAAACAAAATACGGAAAAACAACGAAATGGTCGAATAGAATCAATATGAAAAAAAGATATGAAAGTTTTCGTGAAACTAAAACAAAACAAAAAAAAAAACAAGGTAAATATTGTCTGATACGATGATGATGATGATGACAATCAAATGAAAGAATGAATGAATGAACGAATGCTTTGTTGTTATCTATGAACATGTCATATTTTGGTTTGGCTAGCTGATTGGTGGATATCGGGAGGAAAAGATATTGAAGAAAACACATACACACAGAGTGAATAAGAGAAAAATGAAATGAATTTTCACTTGCAAAAGACAACAACAACGATAATAAAAAAAAGACATTGACTGGACACTGAATGGACAATCATTATTATTATTATTATACCTGCGTGTCATATTTTTTCTTCCATTATTATTAGTTTTGTTATTTTGTTATTAACAATTCGGATGTAGTGGACAAAAATGATGATGTTGATGTTTCCTATTTTCAATGTTATTATCAAGGAAAAAAAACATGGACTATATTCGTTTTTTGTTTTGCTTTCCTGAAGATGACAATAGCATTTTATCATCATCAAGTTAAAATAGTTAAATTGGACGAATATGAATGGCTTTTTTTTTGTTGTTGGCTACAAAACCTGTGGTAAAATGATGATGACAACCTGAACGATTTATGATCACGATGTTGTTGTTGTTGTTTGTTGATGACGGTCAATGGATGATGATGATGATGATAGATTACTCAGGTAGATATAGATCTCCTTTTATAGATGAAAATATGACAAGATGATAATGATAATGGTACATGTTTGGAATTGAAATTCTGGTTTTCTGGTTATTATTCTTGATGTTCAATCATGTTCGTTTGACACATTGGTCGTTGTTGTTGGTTTCAAATCTATCATCCAAATGAAATGATGGAAAAACAGTTGTTCTGGATTTCATTTGAAAAACAAACACACACAGAATTTCGTGGAAATGAAAAAAATTTACACTAAAATTTCATGATACGATTCTTGAGGGAAAGAAACAGAATTTTTTTGAATCGATTTTTGTCAATATTGAATTAAATCTTCTTCGTTTCTTTGTTTTCAATTCGTCATAATGACATTTTTGATTTTTGATTCTATTAGTTTGTTTTTGAATGTCATGTTTAGTTTTTTTATTCTGGTTTTTATCGTTCAATTTTTCACATTGATAATTCAGTGTTTGGATTTCAAATAAGATTCTTTTTCTTCTTTCATGGACCATCCCCAGACTATTACAGAATCCAAACTAAACAATTTACAAAAAAAAAAGGTAAAATAAGGCGTTTCATTTGATTGATTCATTTGTTCTGAGTTGCTTGGCTGTTGCTGGAAATTCATTTCAAAGTAACTAACCAAAACTAACTAAGTAAGTTAGGTAAGGTAGGTAGGTAGTAACATTATTTCATTTTATGACAATGTTTTAGAATCCAGAATCCATTATTACAGAAGGTTTTTCATTTTCATTTTCATTTTCATCATCTGGTTGTCATTGGTAAATAACTTTTTTTTTTCTCTCGTTTCGGGTCAATTTTCCCACTTTTTTCTTTTTCTCATTCTTCTTGGGAAACAATTCCAGTTGTCATCATCATCATCATCATCAACGACAACAACAACCGTTGTTCCGTTGATCAATTTATTTTCCGTGTAGATTCCGTTCATCATCATCATCATCATCATCATGTTTCCTATAGTGATCCAGGATTCATTCCATTTGTTGTTGGTGGTAGTTTTCTTTTTTTACTTGAGTAAAAAATTTTTTTTCGGTTCAATTTTCATTTCAGTATCGATCATATTAACCTGGGCTACCATACACAAACCACACAAACATTATTTTTTTGGCACGCAATTTTGGCAACCGAAATAATTTCTATCTTTTGCTAGTTGGTTGTTATTTTAACCAAAATAAAATCCATGAAAACGAAAAACGAAACAGAAAAAAACATTGTTGATCAATCATGGACCAACCAACGATCATCATCAACAACAACATAGATCAATATAGCCAAACACAAACCAACTAACCAAAATAACAAACAATAATAAAATGGATCAACATTTGATCGATTCATTCTTTGGATTGTGTGTGTGTGTGTGTGTGAAACATTTGGAAAACCGAATAGAAATGGAATTTAAGAATCCGTAGAATTTAGAAAGCAAAAAAAAAAGATACTTACAAACAATAAACAGTAAAACATAGATTGGTCGATTCATTGTAAAACATTCGGAAAATGAAAATGAAAATGAAAATGATTACAAACACTCACGCAATCATTTTTATGCTGAAAATTGTGGTTTTCATCAATGATCGTTCCACGAACACACACACACAAACACAAAACATACACAATTGTTGAAACACCAACTACCTTTTTTTCTTTTTTAATTTATCAATTCTGGATTCTTTGATTGCTTGTTTAAGAGTTTGTTTGTTTAGTTTTGGTTTTGGTTTTTCTTTTGGGGTGTTTGTTTTTGGGAGGGTCATCATTGTCTGTCTATGTGTGTGTGTGTTGTGTGTGCTTCGTGGTTAACTAAATTCTGATTTATCAAATTTCATTAGGGGGAAAAAAATAAAAGTTTTTTTTTCCAAGAAAAAATTCCGGATTCGTGTCATAAATGAATATTTGAATAGTGATCATCATCATCAACAACATTAAGTTTTCTTAATGACATTTTCTTAGTGACATTTTTTTTGGTGATGACCACAACCCTTTTCGCAAACTACCTGTCTACTCTATCTAACTAGTATGGTCAGAATTGTTGGTGAAAT